CACCAATTGGCTAAGAATAACAGTAGCCCTTACTACCCTCTGTCAGAATTTACTGCATAATTAACAAGTTTGCAGGGGGAGCCAGCAGTACATGGTGGCTACTTTGTGCAGTGCTTTGTGCTGTGGAGGACTGATCAGCTAGAGCTTGGGTACAGAACAAAGAGTTTAGGTGTTGCCCTCTTCAGGTATGAGTGAAAACCAAGAAAAAAACTCTGGATATATGCCCAGTGGAAGGATGGAGCTGTTTAGAGTGACACTCATGCTGACATCCTCCAGAAATACAAAGAGGGGCAGGAAAAAGTTTAGATCCCTTGATTTTCTTTCCATACAAAAGCAATTCCAGAAAAACAAAGGAAGCTCTATTTCTGAGGCTGGCTGGTTTTGAAGCAAAAAGGAAGTCTCCCAATTTCTAGGGAAGTTCTTTAATCAATGAGCCATTATATTAAAAAAAGTGTTGTTATCTGTGCTTCAAGAAGAGCTTAAATGTGGTCCATGTGAATTGAAATTAGATATTCTTCTGGGTATATCTGATCCATATCCACGTCTATCACTTCTAAGTATTTGCCAATCTGTACTAGGTGCAAGAGAAATGATCTTGAACCATATCATGGCCCAAGGAGACTTTCTGCATGCCAGTTCCCACTCCAGAATTTCCCCTGACCAATTTTTAGAGCGTGGTTGAGGGGGGTTGAGGAGCTCCCGAGGAACAACCCACCAAACTAAGCCTGGAAGAGCTGCAGGCAGGATGGGCAGGCGAGACAGGACTGGGTGGGAATGCTGCAGAACTGCCATCTCCACCTTCTTTGCACTGTGATACTGCTGTCTCTATCACAGTCCTAAGATTGTCCCAGCCTATGCTCTTTACCTTTCCCAGCAAGTCTCCAAAAATTTGTCAGAATTTGGCCAAAGATGTGGCCAGTAACACAGTGATACACTGGGGTTGGCTGGGTCTGGAGCAGCACAGGGAGAGTCAGAGAAGACACTGTGCTCCTGGTGGCTGCCTGCTCTGCACTGCTCTCCTGTCCTCCCTTCCCTTCTATGCCTCCTCAGCTCAGGCAACTGATGTTCTGTAAGGTGCAGAGCTGAGGTCTAAATTGGCATCCTGCAATGGTCTAAAATTGTACTTATGTTCATCCAAAGCAGCACAAAAAGCAGCATAAATGAAAACTGAGCATAGTTACTGGGGAAATTCAGTATGAGATAAGAGTCAGAGAAGTGTTTGACACATTCAGAATAGAGCAACCCACTGACCCATGCTTAATGCCCATGGGAAACTTCCTCCGAGTCAAAGGCTTTATCTTGTACTGCGGTTTCTGATGAGGGAGTGACTGTATCTTGTGGGCAAGGTGGAGGAAAGAGCAGAACACTTTTTGTTACATTTGTCAGACCTCTTGATACCCAGCTACTTATGCTGCAGAGGAGCTAATAAAAAAATTGATGATGCACTCTATGGAGAAGGCACTTTTGTTCTGAGTTTTCCTCCTTTATACGCAGAATACCAATATAATCTAAACTTGACCATAAACTAACTTACTGCCAAAGCCAAAGAAGCCCAGCCAACTTTCAATTTTTCAGCCTCATTTAATGAGTTAAAACCAGAAGAGTAGTATTTGAGTATGAAACTACTAAAGTGATGATCTGCATGTCAATCTGACCTTTAATAACTATACAGTCAAACCTGGGAGTAAGAGCTTGTGAAGAAAGCAGTCAGTTGTTATCAAACAGAAGTCTAGATAGCATATTCTTAACTCTAACCATCAATATAAACGGCGTCTCTCAGGATTAAAGACGTAGAATTTTTTTTAAGGCACTGTTGTGCAAATAGCTAAGAAGTTACAGAAAAATAACTTCAGAAATATCTAAGAGTTTGTTTATAGATTGAAAGAAATATGAACCGATTACAGAAGATTTGTTTTCGGATAGTAGGCATAGAGTAGCCTGGAAATATCTGGGAACATTCGGTATTCTGTGTTTCCCAAATAGTTTTTCTTGAAAATAGATCAGGTAAACATAAGATGATACTTTTCAAACCTCTTCTTTTCTAGACATCACACCTCATATAGGAATATATAAGGTTGAATCACTGTAGTTGTATGAGTTCAAGCAGATCTCACTTGTAGAACACATGGTAAGACTTCCTATTAAAATGCTGTCAGCCCTTGACATCTATTTACAAATGATAAGTGAAACAAGAGTATCTGTGTCACTTGATAATACTGTGTGCAGGACAGTACTGAAAAAAAGGATGTTAACAGTGCTGACAGTTATTGGGGATACATGTGCAGGTAGTTAGGAGAAAACTGAAAGGAAACTAAAAGCTTGGTATGGTTTGCAATCATGGATCTATTGCCATGTCACATAGGTAATCATGACTCCAATTTGCAATCTCAAAGAGCTCTGCAATCTCTAAAAAAGGCTCCACTTCTACCTTCTTCACAGAAATCACCAACAACTACCCTCTGCACAGATGGGAGGACAATGGTAAATATTTGTCAGTTGTTTGGTTATATATGGGTAAAAAACACATCAAGCTGAGCCAACTGAGCTTGAAGATGTGACACAGCCAGCACGCAAAAGCTTCCTGCAGACTAATAAGGCTAAAGTCACCCAGAAACCTATCAGGCTGTGTAACAGTGGATCTTTGATGAATACAGTCAGTTAACAGAATATCTGAAATTCCAGTTTAATACTGACGGAAGGAAGATATTCTATAAGTGGCTATATATTTGGAAAGGAAGGATTTGAGGAACTGTGCCTTTACAAGCCTCCAATAACATTTATTTAGTTTACAGAACTCAGTTTGGGTGCATGAAACTAGGCATTCTGTGACATCAGACAGCATGGGTTCATGAAAGGCATGCCATGCTTGACCAACCTCATCTCCTTCTATGACTGGGTGACCAGACTGGTAGACGAGGGACAGACTGTTTTCTACCTAGACTTCAGCAAAGCCTTTGACATGGTTTCTCACAGGATTCTCCTGGGGAAACTGGCTGCCCGTGGCCTGCACAGGTATAGCCTTCCTTGGGTGAGAAAGTGGCCAGAGGGCCGTGCCCAGAGGGTAGTTAGTGGTGAATGGAGGTAAGTCCAGCTGGAGACCTCTTACAAGTGGTGTCCCCCAGGGGTCGGTACTGGGGCCCATCTTGTTTAATATCTTTATTGATGACCTAGAAGAGGAGGTTGAGTGCACCCTCAGTAAGTTTGCAGATGACACCAAGCTGGGAGGTGGTGTTGATCTGCGTGAGGGTAGGGAGGCCCTTCAGAGGGATTTAGACAAGCTGGACCACTGGGCTGAGGTGAATGGGATGAGGTTCAACAAGGCCAAGTGCCGCGTCCTGCACTTTGGCCACAACAACCCCATGCAGCGTTACAGGCTTGGGGATGAGTGGCTGGATGAGTGTGAAGAGGAAAGGGACCTGGGGGTGTTGGTTGATGCTCGGCTGAACACGAGCCGACAGTGTGCCCAGGTGGCCAAGAAGGTCAACGGCATCCTGGCCTGCATTAGAAATGATGTGGCCAGCAGGAGCAGGGAGGTGGTCATCCCCTGTATTCAGCACTGGTGAGGCCGCACTTCGAGTATCGTGTTCAGTTTTGGGCCCCTCACTGATGAAACACATTGAGTCCCTGGAACGTGTGCAGAGAAGGGCAACAAAACTGGTGAGGGATCTGGAGCGCAAGTCTTATGAGGAGGCTCAGTGGTGACCTTATTGCTCTCTACTTCCTGAAGGGAGGTTGTGATGAGGAGGGTTTTGGCCTCTTCTCCCAGACAACAAAGAGGACCCAAGGAAATGGCCGCAAGTTGTACCAGAGGAGGTTTAGGTTAGACATAAGGAAGAACTTTTTCTCTCAGAGGGTGGTCAGGCACTGGAATGGCTGCCCAGGGAGGTGTTGGAGTCGCCATCCCTGGCAGTGTTGAAGAGGCGTCTGGATGAGGAGCTGGGAGATATGATTTAGTGGCTTGTGATAGCAATGGTGATGGGAGGACGGTTGGACTAAGTGATCGTTCCGGTTGTTTCCACCCTTGTGATTCTGATTCTGTGATTTGAGTCATGTGTTTTCTTGTCACCTGCATAGGGCTTGGAGAAATGACATGACATCTATAGGAGTAGCATGGCCTTATGTGCCAGCAGCTAAAGGTTCAGTTAGACATAAGACTGCTTAAAACACTTTAAATGGCATTAAACACTTTGCTGTAGACCACTAAACCACACTGCACAGAAGCTAACCCAGTCTAAAGCTCGCAATAAAAGATCAGATGCTGAAAGAAGAAAATATCAGATTCCTTGGCCATGAGGCATTCCTGAATAGTATAGATAACTTTCTAATGGGAAATGGGCTGGGATTCCTCTCTCCTCATTTCAGAGATTGGAATCAGATTCACAAAAAAGGCATGTGCAAGTGTCTCACTCAGATGCCTACCTGTGAGAAAGGCACATTTTCTCCTATTTCAGCCAGTGTCCAACTAATGAAGTTAGCAGAGCTTCCAGTGTAATTAAGTTCAAGTAAACAGATTCCTAGCAACTGATCTGCTGAATATCTCTGTAGGATCCCTTGAATATGTTGACCAGGTAGACTTCAGCAATTAGCATTTATGATTAAACTGCAGACACTAAGGCATGTGAGATGGGACAGCATGGTATGCTTACGCAAGGTCTTTATCCTCTGAGTATTCAAGCTTAGGCACATTGCTCTGAGGTGTCTAAAATGGAACTAAAGATCTTCAAGTGAGCTACAGAATCAAACTTACACTTATGTAAGATGAGTTCCACTGTGTAAGCAGACAGGTAATGACTTGCAAGATTTCACTTCAGCACTGATACTAGCTCTCTGCTAATGCTACAGAGACAACATGAAGAGGGAGATACTGTCTTCACACCACAACGGATGACATGATTTCTCATTCACACTTCTGCTGTGAGCTATATATTCAGGAAGGTCTTAATGTTTTTTTCACAGTTACGGATGTCAAATGTCCTTAAGAGGAAAAATAAAACCCACATCCTTTTTGTTTAGGTATATATCACAGAGTGAATAGGGGAGGACTCCAGGCAGACACCATGGGTGTTTTTCTCACTCTGTCCACCTCTGCTGCCATTGTTCTTCTGATAATCCCTGGAGGTAAGTGCACAGTTTGATCCTTTTGAAGGTAAACACTGACATACAGAGTTCCATTTAAGTAGAATATATTAGCATAAAGTAGCTGCAATTACTATTGGAGTTAAAATTATGATGTCTTTCTATCTTTCTTATTGTCTTTGATCTTTCCATACAAACCAAATAATTTCTGAATGGATAATCGTAATTAAAACTGCACAAAGGACAAACTGTTTGGAAGAGTTCAGAGAAATTAATATAGACATTTTCGATCAGTCACTCTACAGGCATATACATAGATGATTTCTTGATTTTCTGTTCTCTTGAAAAGCATGTTCGTGTAATGTAACTTACCCTTTATAGCCCAGTTGCCAAGGGTTTGCACAAGACAGACACTGCACAACATATATCTAGTGGCAAGGCTAGGTTTCTTACAATGAAAGCTGAAAAATTAAACATATCAGAGAACTTCAGAACAATAAACCTGTGCAAGATCAATGACACTTAGGTTGTTCTTTTTTTCCTCAACATTCATGTCACTAACCTTATTTTAATGCCACTGAAAGACACATAAGTAGTGCTGCTGAGCACTTTTTAAAGCCTATCCTGAAGACCTGCATAGCAACATGTACATTCCTGCATGTCTGTATATTTCATAATTATGTTAAATGCACTTTTCTAAGAGTTCACAGTGCTTTGCAGCTTAGCTGTGTGTATTATGGCCTACTCTTATTTGTAGATTTGTGCGTGGATATCATCGGAGGACATGAAGTAACACCACACTCGAGACCATTTATGGCCATGCTCAAAGGAGAAGATTTTTGTGGAGGAGCTTTGATCAAGCCAAACTGGGTGTTAACAGCTGCTCATTGCGATCTGTAAGTTGCTTCTCTAATTTGTAGGTTAGTGAGTACCCAGTTTCCCTCTTCAAGAAGAAAAGTCCATGTCTCTGCTAGTCTAGTGCATTTAGCATTATCACGGTCAAGTTTTTAAACTTACAGTGACAACCATGTTTTGGTGAGTAAAAAATAATATAAGAAAGTACACTGATGTTCAGTGTTTCTGATATTTTACAATACACTTGTCATAGGAAAGCACAGAATAACAATGCTGAAATTGTGAATTTGGGGAAAGATCTATGCCTGTTCTCTCAAACAGTGCAATTGGCCAGAGGACTGGCCAGTCCAGATAGCTGCTTATAAAACAGAAACAAGTTCTTGTAATTTTGTTCTATAAAAGACAGAGTTCATTACAGAAAGAGGCAGCACATAATTATAAAGGAGCAAAAAATCCTGCAGATGACAGGAGACATTTAGAGACCCTCTTTACAAATTCTGTTAGCTTCTTCCTGTCTGACTCCAGACATGGATGGCTGTTTGGCCTTGCACGCTCCCCCTGCCAGGCGAGATGTGAGGTTTACATCTCACGACCCACCCACTGCCTTTGCTAGGGGGACTGGAGCTGCTGCTGAGCCAGACCTCACACAGGCTCTGTCAACAGCCTGCTCAGGGCCAGTGAATCACTGGACTTGTAACCATTTATCCTGCTACCAGCCAAGCAGAGAGATAACTGGAATCTACGACAAAGAAAGCACAAGGTCCAAAAGCTGTGGAATCAACTTATAGTGAAGAGTAATCCTGGATGAGATCTCATTAAAAAAAAAATACATTACATAATTAATTTAAAATTGCTCAGGCAGCACTCACACAGCTCTTGATAGCTGAAGGAACAGCAGAATCACTTCCTCAGGGTTTTGATTGCTACAGTAAGAGGCAACTGAGGACCAGCCAGCACAGCTACTCTGACAAGCTTCACCATCCAGCTGCGGCAAACATCAAGCTCCCAAGAGAAACAGCAGGGGCAGCTTCTGAGTTAAGGACCCAAACCCTGTTGGTCGCTGGTGCAACTAGAGTAGCATCAATTGTGATTCACTGGCACAATTTTTCTAAACTACTTGTGGAAACAGACTAATCTTCTACATTCTTCTAAATTACTGTTGCTTTACAGGCCTGAAAAAAGAGACTTACAGCACCACCACAGCAAGGAATTATGGACTTGCAGCAGGTGAATCCCACTGACCATGTTATCTTTCTTCTCAGGGAAGGAGGCACAGTTATTCTTGGAGCCCATTCACAGACAAAAAGGGAAAAAGAAAAACAGGTTATTAAGATTGCAAAAGAAATTCGCTACCCAGGCTACTCTTGCGGACAAGAAGAACATGACATTATGCTGCTGAAGGTATAGATTTACTTACACACTACTGAAGGAATACTCATCTCCTGTGATGCACTAGATTTTTCATTCTTGTGAGGAAGAGAGATGGGAGTTTCTGAGAACATTGTTTCTTGGGTGATACAGACTGGTCTGCAAATCCAGCTGATTGAGAGATTAGGGATACACTGCAGACCAAGACTCAACAATTCCTGTAATGTATGCTCGTATTAGCAGTAGAAAAACTGTAGTTTGGCCAAGCTTTTCTGGCTTTTCAACAAAATACTAAATATTCATATACATATGAATATGAATTATTTTTACATATTTCAGATGTAAAAATAACTGGGATAAAAACCATAATATTCTAACTGAAAGATAGTTCCATTAAGAATTTATAACTTCTCTGGTTCTCATTTTTGCCAGCGTCAGTTACTGCTGCTTTTTTGTCCTAGGAAAAAAAGCTTAGATTCCCTATGTATAAATATCTCCCAATGCTTGTGGGTGCAGCAGAAGAAAAACAGGGTCTTTTTGGAGCAAATATTTCAGCAGTTGAAAGGATTTTCATTGGAAAGTAGATATTCATTTTCCTTATTCCTACATTATCACACTGATTACATAAATTCCGTCACAAACAGAAATCTCAAAAAAGGTTTGCAGTAATCCCTCATTTCCACAGGTGGAAAAGATCCAGTGATTAACATGCAGAGATCTCTGTCAGACTCTGTCATAAAAATTATCTTCCTTATCTTCTACAGCTTACGAAAAGAGCAAAAATTAATAACGCTGTGAAAGTAATTCCCCTGCCTACCTCTGGTAAAGATCTCAAACCAGGAACAACTTGTAGAGTAGCAGGATGGGGACAAACTGAGAATTACATGAAAAAATCTGATACCCTGAAAGAAGTTAACGTCACTGTCATCAGCAGAACAATCTGCAATGACAAGAAACATTACAATTACAATCCTCGTATAACAAATAACATGATATGTGCAGGAGGATCCAAGAGAGAAAAAGCAGACTCATGCGAAGTAAGTATATTTATTGGCATTATCTGCATTGACTACATTAAAAATACAACATAAAGTAGTAGTTTTTAGAAACATGGTATATCCCTACCTACAGTTCCAGAAGGAGTAATACCACAAAAGAGTGAGTTTACTAGGGCTTCTTTTTCTAATCCTTAAAATAAAACACATCTGGATTTTCACTTTCAAAAATACTGGACATATCTTAGCACAGATCTAAGCAAATGGTCACACTGAAGTCTTTTTTTAATTATTATTTTTTGTTAATGATAAACTTAACTTCTGAAGGAGGGGGTAGTGGGAAGGTAAAGGGAAAAAAAAGGCGTAGTCTACATATTTATTTCTACCATGCAACTGGAGTAAGTTTCAAGTAAGGGACAGATTTTGTAGCTTTTGTAAATATGAATGACAATTTTTCTCTTCCTGTTCCAGGGGGATTCAGGCGGACCCTTAATATGCAATAATGTGATGAAAGGTGTCACATCTTTTGGGAAGTCACCATGTGGTTCTCCTAATGGTCCTGGTGTCTACACTCTCATCACAAACCAGTACCTTAAGTGGATAAGGAAAACCATAGACGGAGACTTACAGACCGAGTTTTGACCAAACTATTTCCCACTTTGTGATTGTGCAACAAAATCTAGCTTTGAAATATGCACTCTGCTAGAACAGCTTTTGTAGTTTACAAAGCTATGGAGTCCATTTGTGACTCAAGCTTTCCGCTTCCTTGCGTTGTGCATTCAAACTGAGCTTTACATAGATGAGTACTTCTGACCAACTGTCAAATCAAAGTGTAATTTCTACCTTTCATTTATTTGAAGCTTCTGCATGTCAACTCTGCATGTAATCTGCATTAAATAAGAGAAATAGCAATAAAATCTATTTCTCAAAGTTGTCAGTTTATGTGGTACACTGTGTCTGTTGCAGTATAAATATTCCATGCCAATAATGTTTGGGACATGCAAGATTTAAAGGGGAAGGGAGGGGAGGGGAGGAGAGGGGAGGGGAGGGGAGGGAAAAACAGCTGAAAAGCTGAGAAGTGCCAGAAAGTGTCTCAGCTGAAGTACCAACATGAATTGAGTGCTGCCTGTATTACAAGGAAAAAAAAAAAAAAGGAGAAAGAAATACATTCTTCGAGACTCATAGAATCATTAAGGTCAGTCCTACGATTCCATAGGTTTCTTGTTTGTTTTTGCATTACAAATAGCACTTTTTCATATCGATACTCCAGCTGAGACACCTCCATGGTTCCAACTCTGCCACTGAGCAGTGGAATTTTTAAGTGCTTCAACAACTACTTGTCAAACAGCAAACAGATCCATTGTGAAAAATGTCTCTCCCCACCTCTATATTGACATATGGGTATTTTCAATGCTGTGAATGCCTCAAGGAGGGGGCAGTTTTATTTTGTTTCTTTGGGGTTTCTAAACTGGAAATAGGTATCAAGTAAAAGAAAATGGTCAGCATTCACAAGGTGCATAAATCTAACATAATTTTAATTAAAAAGTATTTTTTCATAATGAACAATTGAACATAATTTATAAACATATTATGGGAAAATATGGATTAAAATACAACTGTTCTCTTCTGATATCCAGTTACTGAGGAGGGCCCAGTCTACTGGATCCTTATTGAAAGTTTTGATGCTGAACATTTTTAATATTTTCTGTCCATTACAGATGTTACAGAGTCAGAACTTCTAACATTCCTGATTGTTATTTCTAAAGAGTAATTGCATATGTTTAAGTTATGGACTGAACACACGAACAAGTGCACAAGCACAAGCAAAGGAGCACAAGCACAGAAGCAAAGCAAAGCAGAGAGGAGGATTCTTGGCCAGTAAAGACTGCATCAGTGAAACTAACAGGACAGCTGGCTCACTGACCTACTAACACCCAAAGTGGTGATTTTATTTCTGTTTTAAACACCTAGAAAATGAGTATTCTATTCTATTCCCTTGTCATGCAGACTACCAAATCCTTAGTTTGGAAGAATTGATTCTAAAATCCTTCAGAAAATACTAAGCCTTTATAAGTCTTGTGAAAAATCTGCAGCTGATCTTCAAAACAATCAATCAATCAATGAAGGGCTACTTCACTCTCCCCACTGATTAGGCTTACTTTATTACTTTACTCCTTGTCCAACTTCCATTCTGCTATCGCATTTTCATCTTATTGCTTCCTCTGTCCAATTCTGGAAGTCAAAACCAGCAAAGCTGAATACAGCTCCAGCACTACTGGACGGAGTCCACTTAAGTTCAGGTAACAGAGAATCTCAGTAGCAATTAAGATCACATGTATCAGCTAGATTAAGTGTGAACATCAGTCAATTACATTTTGACATGTAGGATGCAATGTCTACTCACTGTGAACCAGGAAGTGAACAGGTTTATGTTTATACAGCATATAAGTAAAGCAAATACAGCATATTAAGTAAAGCATGTAATATTTATCTGAGTAGCATCAAGTCAGACTGTGTAGCCTCAGGAGTCCATTTATGTGCAGAACAAAGGCATTTCCAAATAGAAGTTTCTATACTCTATTTCACTGCATCATATTCAGATAACCACTTCATTATATTGTCAGTGAATTTTTTCCTCTTCTAAAAATGATTTTTGCTCTGATTCTGATCATTGTCCGAAACTAGTCTGGGTCTGAAACAGAGTCAGCATCAGGCAAAGCATCACCAACAGGAAAAGAGAGGGGATCCTTTCCATTAACTCAACATTGGTGAGATCACTTCTGGAATGCTGTGTCCAGTGCTGTCCTACACTACAGTAGTCCAATGGAAGGCCGTCAAGATGAGAAGGGTGCGCAGCAATTTTCCTATGAAGTGAGAGAACTGGGACTGCTCTTTCCAGAGAATAGAAGGCTCAGGGGATGTCACCAATGTCTATAAATACCTGAAAAGAGGGTACGAAGAGGATGAAATTGGGCTCCTTTCAGCATGCCAGTGCCTGGACAAGAGGCAATGGGCACAAACTGAAACACCAGAAGTTCCTTCTGAATATCATTATTTATCTGCTTAATGCAGATAAATAATGCAAGTCATGGAGAACTGGTACAGGCTACCCAGAGAGATTGTGAGGTCTCCTCCTCGGACATCTTCAAAAGCTGCTTGGACACTGTTCTATGGACCCTGCTCTGGCAGCCTTGCTTATGTAGAATTGGAGCACATACACCCAGAGGCCTTTGCCTGCCTCAGAAATTCTGTGATTCTGTGAACCATAGGCATGTTGCACAGAATGAGACAAAAATACACCATGTTATACAAGGAGGATGTCAAGACCTCACGTTTTGCCCAGTCCCTCATATATTAAGACCTTAGCACAGGCAGAATGAGGCAACTACACATGAACATTAATTGATTTTCAGCAGTTGTACTCTCTATGTCTGCAAATATTCAGTAACAGTACCTATAAAGCTCAGTGAAGCAGAAGCATGCCTCTCAAGTCCTCAAATTCCTGATAGGAAAGATAAATGCTGGTTATACAGAAGAAACTGACTAGAAAAGGCATGTAAGTATATGTTTAATTTCACTACAGATTAAACAGAGACTGGAATTTAAATATATGTGTAAATGTTTTCTCAGATGTGGTCACAAAACAGGGCTACAGTGCACACAGAATTTCATGGGCTATTGGCTAGTCCTGCAGAAATAAGCAACTTCTCTCTCTGTCAGATATTGTGTTGAAATACTTCTGGGACCAATACAGCTTCACAACTCAATAATGAACTTGGATAATTAAGTACTAAACAATTCTCAGTTTAAAAATAAGTGGTTTTTGTTTTTTGTATTTTGGTTTTTATTTCAACAGATAAACATCCAACAAAATACACCTAACTGCAGTGTTGATTAGTTCCTTCTTCACCACAGTCCTCCACCCTCTTTTCTTTTATTTGGCAAACCAACATTTATGTACCATCCAAGAACAAAAAGAATTTCTGGGGCAATTCCTGAAATACATGAGTAAAGAACTCTACAGAATTCCACAGCTTTTCTCCCAGTGAAAAGAGAGAAAATGCTTTTTTATCACTAAAAAAAAAAAAAAAACAAAACAAAACCAACCTTTAAAACTGTGTAAAACACTATTTTGAATATTTAAGTTGATCTATTGTAATTAATTTAAGTTAAATAATTGGTCAAATATTACAAGATATGTTAGGAGACAGGCTCAGTGTAAGTTATCTCCCATTCTTAGGCATCAGCTTCTTCATAGTAATTTCAAAATTGATGATTGCTGTTCTCATTTTCTAACCTTTTCCGAAGATGACACAAGGTGACCACAGAAGGGTTAACTTGGTGGCAGATTTATTGTAAATTAGTAACTTGCCAGGTAAAAAAGATGAGTGGTCTCAACCTGCCAGACCTAAAATTAGTGATCATGTGACTTACATATATCAGATAAGGCTTTTAAAATGATGAGAACTTAAGACAAGAGAGTTTCACATTCATTTCCTGAGATGCCTGTGTGCCAGTTAATGTTGCTTCTCTTTTCAAACATTTGACCAACAGCTTATTTTTCCATTGACATTGATCTACCCCCCTTATATCCCATTTTCTCACTGTTCAGCTACAGGAAAGACACTAAATACATTTCAACTGGGAAAAAAACCCTAATGAGCTTCTGAACTCACGAGGCTTTTAAGACAAATGCAAGAGTGAATCCTTGCCTTTCTTCATTCCCAATAATGAAATCAAAGTTCCGGAGACACTTATGGCTAAAATATGGTTTGGAATTGTATTTGAGTAGCATCTGAAGATCAAATCACAGAATCACAGAATCACCCGGGTTGGAAGGGACCTCAAGGATCATGTAGTTCCAACCCCCCTGCCTAGCAGGGCCACCAAACGTACACATACACATCTGACATTCTTTCTTAGCTGTTGACAGTACATAGGTATTTTACAGAAAACTCCAATTAAAGTTCAAGAGGTGTGGCATTAGGTAAAATTCATACAAGGGTGACAGCTGCCAGATCTGTGGACACCCAGAACTAAATTGCTACCCTTAAGGGACAAAAAACTAACTGCTGCACTTCTCTGACTATGCCTGTCTGGTTTATTGACAAGTTGATTACAAAACTCTGGATATTAATAGAATTATTATGCAGTTATTTCAAACATTTGACAAACACAGTGAGTGCATATAAGGAAAAAATTCTGAACTTGATACAGCTTATTTAGCTAATAAAGTTAATTATCACTGCTGTGACAGAAATGCTGAAGAATTGTCAAGAAATCATTTATTTTTATTTAGCATCATATGTTTGCTATGATCTCCAGAAATGTTTTGTCGGATTCTGTACTATGAGCTTTGTGATATACGGAACAATCCAGTCCCTTGACTGGTACCTACTGACCCCAGCCCTTGTCAGATTCAATGCAATTTAAACAGCCTGGCATTTGGATTCCAATACAGACGCAGACCATGTAAAATTACAAGAATCATAGCTAAAAACAGGACCTAAGACCTTATGTTGGCATGGGCTGGATTCCATCCATGCTTGCTAGTTTAATGAAAACAAAAATGATTTGTTTGAAAGAGTTAGAATTTTTTCCCTCTAGGTTAAGTAAGACAAGCTACTAATATTTCATGTAATGGACTAAATGGAGAAAATTGCTTTACTCCTGAAAGAATGACACTATCTTTTGCCATGTTTCATTTGGAAGGAATACACATATTTTGAATTACTGAATGAGTGAAATACATAAAATCATTTGCTTTCAAGGAAAATAAGTCAAAAGAATGAGCTCTAATAATCATTAGAAAAAAAGCTTTCTTTTTTTTCATTGTTCTCTTCATACTCATGGCATTTCCACAGACAAGCTATCCCATCAGCAGCGACCGAAAGGAGCCTCCTCTGATCTGGGCTTAAGGCTATATGCAGGACTCTC